TTGTAGGCAGTAAAAAACTTTTTTTCTGTCTCTGGTTCTGTCTAGTATATATTATCATTATTGAAGAATATAAAAAAAGCCGATGTTGTCCGCTGAAAAAAAAAAATAGCTCAGTTTCCCTCTTTACATCTCATTATCAGACGAAATATAATACTTTATAGGTAGTAGGTATACAAGGTGTCAAATGTAAAATAATATCTTATGCATAGGTGGTAATTTAGTATAGTGATCGTAAAAGGTTACCTACTATAATAGTAGTACACAATAATATATTGTCCTATTGTGCTCCATATGAACGATATTCTAATTTATTGTTCATCTTAATCCGAATCCTAATCTCTAGAATGAGAATCCTATAACTCATGAACCTTATAATTCTGCTTAGTGTACCTATGTGTGTAGTTACAGGGTTCATGCGCACTTCGCCGACGAAAAAAATTAGCTTTTAACGATTTTTGAAAAATTCCAAATTTTCTGAATACTTCATGGCGTATACAATGGAATAGTAATGATTGAAATATAATTTAATAAAATAATAAACATTAATTCAATCGTAATTTGTAAACTCATTTTATCAGGAGTACCCATATGTTATTACAAGTTAATAAAATAATTAACTTGAGTTAGTTAGGTTAAGTCAACGTTGAGAATGCCTAATGCCTGAATCGTTAGGTAACTATAATAAACAAAAAATATAATATTATACTATTTAAAATATTATTATATTTAACTCTAATAATGCGGTAGCTATCTGAGTTGAAAAGGAGTTAACTCGGAAGGATAAAAAAAACTTTCAAATTCTAAATATCTTTGTAACGGTATAGGTACTACATGAATTTTAACCATCAATTTTATGCAATCAAAATCAAATCTCGTCAAGTTGTATCCAGTTGTAAAAGATCCAGATCAAACCAAACTAATACAATTTGAATTCTTATACTATTGTTAATGTGCAGGGAGCAACTTTGATCAATTAAAATGGAAATAATATCTTAAAATAAACGTTTAAAAAACACCGATAAAGTATTAAGGTACAAGAGAGTTTGTGATTGCAACAAGTTATGACGAGTTTAGAATTTGTTTTGAATCGTCAAGTACCTAACTACGTAAATTCCCCCAGCCGTGTAGTAATTATGTTTCATTTTTCAACGCCATGAATATTGTACTCGCAAGCTTTGACAATTGAATTTTAAAACAGGCCTAATAAGGAAAAAGTAAAGTACATACCTACCTTAATGATACTATACAAGTGTTAACGACATACAGCGTAACGAGACGATAAGAACTCGACTTGACTGATGTTCATCCCGAACAGCGTTTTCTATTTATCCATTAATAAATTGTTTTTTGTATGCGCTTATATAACCTACAGTTTTTTTTTTTTTTTTTTAACGATCAACCTCTAAGTAACGCACAATGTTCAGCAAAATGTATAATATAAGACTGTTTAATTTGCTTTACGTCTCCGTGACTCGGTGAACACCCTGGAAATTATGAAGGTTGTCCGTCATACAAAACATTTTACATTTTTTTCAAAAGATGAATCATCCCGAGTTTTCTGGCCTACCTGAAAAATCTGGATACAGATATTCCGTCTACTAAAACTCCTTCCGGTCATGCACAAAAAAGAAAAAAATCATATACTGTAAACGCAATATCAAAGACAACACTAACTATTCATCACCATCAATTTATAATATTTTTATTTCTAATGAAAAATGTCGCCTTAAAATAATATTGTAGTACAATTTTTTTGACTTTTGAAAAACACTATTAAATAGTATTATTAATTAAATTATATTATGAATTATAATCATAATATGGTTTTAAACGTTTAAAAATGTTTTGATGTTTACTGGATACATCCACCTATTTAACACGTAGGTTGCATTTTTCGAACAAAATTAACTCAAGTTGCTCGTTATTTCACTATGCGTAAACTGCAACCTAACTTCGGGTATATAACGTAAATTTTAATACATTATCTCTTTCTGTACATCCATTACATAATTTATTGCAAAAAACCAACAGAATAAAGAAATATGACCAACCCGTAAGAATATTGGGGGAAAAACGAATGGTTATAAGAAAAAAGTGACTAGGATAGTTACTTATCTAATAGTCTGTGATTTGACCTTTTGACCACGTGTCCAGATAACCATGGTACCTACAGGAAAAAAGTTTCTAAAACCCATAAGCTCGATTTTTTTACACAGCCCCCAATAGCACATAAACATAATAATATACATATATGCCATACATATCACACAGTTATAGATATTATTTTTTTAATACAAGAAGGTACCTACGAACATAGTATTATAGTTTAGGTACCTACCAGCCTACATGAGTAGGATAAAAAAGACAATTCCTAAACCTGATCCTGCTGGCAGTTCGCTATGCTCGCATGCTGATCCCTGAAAATATACATTGACATTCTTACGAATTTTGAAACTAATTCAAATGTATACGCTGTTCAATATTATTTTCTTATTTTATAGTAGGGTTTCATACCAATCATATTGATACCGTCATACCAATCATGTAAAATACTATGAACAACACTTTATGCGTAAGTATTTTTATGAAAGGTAATAATATAGTTTTAGTCTTCATAAATCACTACCTAATGCTATTAAATAATATAACAACTTACATATCACTACCGACATATATGTATATATATATTCTCAGTGATGTAGTCCTAAAAAAATTCATTGGTACACGCCTTAATCATTGTAAAAAATAACTTGGGGGGCTATGCCCCCCCTCCCCCCGAAAACCACCAGTCTTCCACCATTATTCAGTACTCGTACAATACTTAATCTATTTGACTATATAGCATACGATAGAACCTCATAAATTATGATTGATATATTTTAAACTCATAATCCATTAAAAAAAAATCAAAACTATAATTTTTCTCAAAATATAATTAATGAAACATATTATTATTATTATTTTATAACATTTTTATATTATTCAAGTAATTCCCATAGTTTGTATTTTAGGTCTTGGTTTGAGTATTAGGTATAACTATAAGGTTATAGTGGTATATTAACTTTTTTTGACCTGTTGTCATCAGCATCTCTATGTGAGGTTAACCAACTTTCGACATATTCTTTTCTGAATACGGATAAACAAAGATCTAAAATAGTGACATCATGTTGGTGAACCGGCTCGTTTCCTTTTTTATTACTATTACTATTACTATTACTATTTATAGTAAACTTACGCTTATCTTTTTTTTATTATTGAATTATTGTTTGTAATTTAATATATTTTTTTACCCAATAATATTCACTAAATAAATTTTATTGACTAAGTATAATTGGGTGACGTTAATACGTATGGTGTAATGGGATTACGCAAACGTACATTTCACCAGCCCCCCCAAGTTAAAAAACCGTTGTTTTTTCTTCACCATTAATTAGTGTGGAATTTGTGTGAATTTGTGCGAATATTTTCAGAATTTGTGCGATAAAAAATTTAGGACAAATTCAAAAAAACTTTGGGGGGGCTGGTGAAATGTTCGCTGGCCCCCCCTAAGTGTAATTAATCGACTTTTCTGGATTTTTTTTTTACCAAAAATTAGTGCGCCATTAGTGTGAATTTGTGTGACAAAAATTGAAATTTTTCGAGCTACCCTTAACCCCCAAATTAACGTTTTACCGTTTTGGCCATTTCCCCAGCCCCCCCTCGAGGTCGAAAATCCGGCTTTTCTGGATTTTTTTTTTACCAAAAATTAGTGCGCCATTAGTGTGAATTTGTGTGACAAAAATTGAAATTTTTCGAGCTACCCTTAACCCCCAAATTAACGTTTTACCGTTTTGGCCATTTCCCCAGCCCCCCCTCGAGGTCGAAAATCCGGCTTTTCTGGATTTTTTTTTTACCAAAAATTAGTGCGCCATTAGTGTGAATTTGTGTGACAAAAATTGAAATTTTTCGAGCTACCCTTAACCCCCAAAATAACGTTTTACCGTTTTGGCCATTTCCCCAGCCCCCCCTCGAGGTCGAAAATCCGGCTTTTCTTAATTTTTTTTTTACCAAAAATAAGTGCGCCATTAGTGTGAATTTGTGTGACAAAAATTGAAATTTTTCGAGCTACCCTTAACCCCCAAAATAACGTTTTACCGTTTTGGCCATTTCCCCAGCCCCCCCTCGAGGTCGAAAATCCGGCTTTTCTGGATTTTTTTTTTACCAAAAATTAGTGCACCATTAGTGTGAATTTGTGAGACAAAAATTGAAATTTTTCGAGCTACCCTTCACCCCCAAAATAACGTTTTATCGTTGCATCCCTCTTTTTTTTCTGTGTTTTAGATTTTTTTATTTAGATTTCAGCAATAAGTTGTTACAGCTCGCAATTAGAACCCCTACTTTGTTTCAATAGTAATTTTATGTAAGGATTATTTGCAATAAAAATTATAGTCATTTCATATAATAATAATGTGTATAATATTAAAAAAAGACAAACAGGACGTCTAAATTTTAATTTTAATAAGAGTTTCGCGGAACCCTGAAGTGATCTCCGCAGAACCACGGGGTTCCATGGAATACAGTTAAAGTAACGCTTTTCTTTACCATCATAATTCGGTGTTAGGTTGATTGTCCAAACTTTTCTGGACTTGACGATAGGCATTATATGAATGAGACCAATGTCTAATTTATGCACTACAGATGAATGACTCTTGTGAACGGGGCAGCGCTACTTTAGTGGACACTGATTTATTGTATACCATATTACAAATATTTTGGTTAATGTTGGACCATTATTGGACAACCTTTAAAAATTAATCGGTCTTTGTTTTTACTGGAGGGCTAATTTCATCTTTAGCGCTGTCAACTCCACACTGGCAGTTTGTTAAGGCATAATTTATGTTATAAATGATCACCTCGATTTGTTTGACACTGTTGGACTTTTAAAATTTGTTGTTTCAGTATTATTTTGAAATGAAATGCATAAACAAATTAAAAATTTAACATTTAACATTTAATTTGTATTATATTGAGTATACAAGAAATTCGCAATTTACAACTTTTGTATCTTTGATAGGAATTGGTTTTTTTTTCATGTCATCGAATTGTTCCCAGTTGCTTGTCCCTCGTTTTGCGAAGGCACAATAATGCCCAATTGAATTTCTCAATTTAGTTTTGCCGGCTTTGAAGCTAAGTACTCTTCTAAGCTCATATGTTTTTGAGTTATGCTGTAAAATTTGTGGAATATCACATAACTTTTCTTTCACCTGAGCTGCTGCTTCAGAGCTGCGGTCTTTAGAAATCACATTTTCTCCTGAAACAATATTATGAAATATAATTCGGGTTTGACGTTGGTATAAATGCAATTAACTTGTTTTTATTTTACAGTATATTTTTCTCTTTGTTCTTTTAATTATTAATATTATTTATCTATATACATAACATACCATTGTATACTTTTTTTTTTATATTATAGGTATGTTTATAAATAACGTTGTTGAGTTAAAATTATAAACATTTTAACTAGACAAAATATAATTAAATTAAAATGTATTTAGAGGAGATAAAAAAGATTGGGTGTTAGTATAAGGTATCTAGATAGTACTCAAAACTGATTTCGTTTCACTATGGTACAATCATTATCTAGAAACTACTCGCAAATCGTTATGATTTTTGTTCATAACGTTTATTCTCTACTTCATCATCAAACTTGAAACTCCATACCTATATGTTTCTATCTACTTTAATATATAAAAAAAACTAAAAAGATTACCTTCCCAATGAAGAACATCAATAAACAAATGCATATCTGAGAATTCAGATATTATTTCTTTCACCCCATCACAATAGTTTCCAGACACGTCTTGTGTACATTTTGATTTTTTAATGTGTTGGCGATTATCAATAAATTGTTGCAAATTCTGTATATGACCATTTTCCGTTTGATATGTTAAATACACTAGTGTATTAAATTTTGTTTGACAGTTTGATGTACATCGTATAGCCTCTTTTATTGTTGGAAATTCTGTCAACATTGAACGTATAACATTACCCATAGTAGAGTCACAAATAGCCAACGTAGTGTTATATTCCATCAATTTTAATTCTGGATTCAACTTTGTTATTATAATATCAGCTCGTTCTGTATATGTTGAAGATGTAATACCATTTTTGATAATTTTTGAAATAAAATTTAGAAATTGACTTTGTCCAACAGAATCAATTTTTTCGGCATATGGTTTGCTATCACAATACGATACCTGTAAAATATAATATATACAATTTTACAACGATTCAAAACTAAATATATTATATAAAATATAGGTACCATAACTAGAGAAGCCAATGAATCAAATGCACACGTGTTCGTCAGTACGATTTTTCCTTTTGTAACTTTAGATTTACAGCTTTTAAGTTCTTCTGAACGTGAACCATTTTTTAGAATCGGTAGCGATTTGATCTGTTTGGAGTTATTTAAGTTCAAATGTCTTAAATGTGGATTAGGTTGGAGGTATGATTTAGTTTTACGTTGTTTCTTATTCATCCTACACCAAGTTTCACTTGCATTTTTCTCCTCATTTACATTAGTTTCTACCAATGAACAAATAATGCAAACTCGCATGTCATCATTACCAGGTACATAAGTTGAGCATGCGGAAATAGGATGAACTGGTATTCCACAGTAAAAACATTTATGTGCTCCTGTATCGCTACCTTCGGAGCAAAGTGGACAATTTGATTGTTCAGGAATTATCAAAAAATCATTTTCCTGTTCAAAAACCATGTTTGTGTGTTCAACTTCTTCAACATTTTGATGAGTTTCAATAAGTCTTTTGTTGTCTGATTGAGAAGTTATTTTTGATTGTCTATTAATTTCGTCATTGTTGTTTGGTGGTTTTGAAGTTTTAGTTGAGTGAATTAGGGATGCTCCTCGTAGTGAATAAATATGACGTGGTAAAAAGTCTTCAATTGTAATCGGTAAATTGTCTTGTTTGAATGTCACAGTTTTAAGTTTTTTGAAACTCGACTCAACTGCGGCAGAACTAGCAGTTTCATCACCATATCCATATATTGGAACCATGATACCTGACCATAGAGGTAATAGTTTCATACATTTTGTTATATATGGAACCAATGCCGGTAAATACATGGCATTAATCCCTGTTCCTTCTTTTATATAATGCGTGCTGTTTTCATAAATGTTCTCAGCCCAGGTTTGGAATGGGTTGTATCCTAGTAGACCCTCCTCCGGATTGTCATCTTCTTCCAATATGGATTCCTGGTCATCATTGAACATTATTTCTTCGTCTTCATTTATAGTACCTTAAAACATACCAGTGCATAATTTAATACTTAATATTACAATTTTTTTTGTGTAAAATATATGTTTAAACAACCTGTCGATGTAAAGTTGATCAATTCTCTTTTATGTAATTCATACGGTGTAGCTAATCCAGTGTTTATGTCAGAACCATCAGTTTCATTTGTAATTACAACAAATAGAGAAATCAAAATTTTTTTTATATCCGAAATATTTTGACATTTAACCATAAGTCCAATTACTCGAAGAATGACTTCCCTGACACGTTTGGATACTGATTTCAGTGGCACCCATTTAGTTATTAACTTGATGAAATGTGCTACGTCTACTCTGATAAAACACCTTAAAAAAATAATCAATTAATAAATATATTAATAACAATAATTTATTATAACCAGTTTAAGGCATAGGTAACTAAATAGTTTTGTATATATTAGATAATATAATATTTACTTTGCAATACAATCATCTATAATCTAGATGAGATAATAGATGGATAATAATATAATTTCAGGAAAAAATTATTTAGTTATAATTTAAAATTTTTTTTATTATCTTTACTCTGTTCAAAATAAGACCGCGACCAGTTTTCGTCGGGCGGCGGTAAGACATATGGCCAATTGGCCAGATGCCGTCCCCACTACGGCGACGCGTCGGGCACTGCCACCGAACAAAGCCACGCCCATGCGCACAACTCGGCCGCCGGGTCACTGTCTTATTTTGAACAGAGTATAGATAATATGACGATTATTAAAAAAATATTCAAATGAGATTTAATAAACGCTAAGCCAAACACCGTTTATAACAAAGTGATATATACAACTAAAGTAATTTTTTGGACAAGATGTAAAAGAACTATTAATACTGCTACTATTACTTCCAATACTACTACTACTACTAATAATTATAAAAATGATAATAAAACAACTGCGATGTAATAATTTATAAAATAATTAAAAATATATTATTGAACAAAAGAAAAGTTTAAAAAGTTGTGTGTTATGAATTATGATTTCAACTTTTAAAAAAATTAGAAATCATCGTATTCGAAAAATGATTCTGAACGGAAACGGTTTATCAATATGGATTTTTTAAATTTTTATTATTTATTATAGCCTTCAAGTAGAATTAATATTATAATTTTTTATTCGTTGCTACGGTGTCACGGTGATAAACAAATCGTTAGAAATTAAAATCCCATTTTAAGCGGTTTTTTGTAATTGGTCAGTAGTTTTTCCCATGGCATTAAATAACTATTGAGAAAATCTAAAAATGACCTCTTTAAAGTACCATCTTGATCCAATTTGCTAAAAGATAAGGTACTATATGTTGAAATCGAAGGACTTCTTCTGGTAGAAATTTTGTATACAGGATATAAAAAAATAAAAAATAAAAAATTAACACCATTGTAAAACCACTATAGCTTCCTCGATCCGCTCAGAATCTAAAAAAAAAATTGAATATTAAAATATTTATAAGCAACCCCATCAAAGTGAAACCTTGGTCCAATTTGAACTCGGAAAAGGTGTTGAGTTTATGTTTATGTATAGTATAAACATTTTTGGTCAGAAAGTTGTACACAGAAGCAAATTAAAATAATTGTAAAATAACCAGTAACCACTATCTCTTTCACTTAGATGATAATATTTCGTTATACCTAATTATATAATTGTATAGAATAGTTAACAAAAATATAGATGCTCATGCGTTTTGATTGATTTATGTTATACATACCTTGGTAGCCAATGAGATTCTCGGAGTGGTAATTCATTTAAAACAAAATCAGCACAAACTTTAATATAATCATTCAATGATGAGTACTGAGTGAAACAATGACTTATGGCTGACAGCATAGGCGCAATTTCAACATAAAAACTGAGGGTGCTTAAGCTCTGCATTTCCTGGGTATTTAAATTAAATTATACCTATGAGGCACTTATGACTTTTTTGAGAAAAAATGGTTTTATGACAATTTAACATTGAAGTTATAGTGCATTAGGTACATTTTATAAAAATTAATACAGTAGTAAATTTTAATTTATTAAAAATGTAAAACAAATTATTTATATTTTATTCAAAAAATATGACAAATAAATATTAGTGTACAAGGCGTGTAACAGACAGACTTGACAAAAAAAAAAAAAAAAAATAAAGCTACTTAAATGTGTGACAAAAATTGTTAAAATTATAAAAAAAACATTATAAATATTGATTAGAACAAAAGTTATTCCAAAAGTCAGTTATATCTGTACCTACTTTATTATATCATTCGGCATACACAATCACACAGGCTGTCGGAAACTTGGAACTCCAGTGAACACCAACTGACAAGTTATTCGTATATCGTAATTAGGTTTTTGTCCGAATTAGATGTGGGCACGGGAATGTTTCTATTAGTAAATACTCTCGATACTATAAATTGTCGTAGAGCTGAGTCGCTGCTGAACGTGATAACACTGATAATAATATAACCGACCACAACGACCGGGCTTAGTAGAAACATTGGAAAATAATGATTTATATTCTAAATAGATTTGAATTCGATAAAATTACAATTGTCGAGTTCATTGTTTCATTCATTATACACTGATACCCTCATGTCTGATGATAAACTGTTTTTGGTTTTTTTTTTTTGTTGTAAAGAGAAGTTTTGATACATAAACACATATTTATTAGATGGTGCTAATTTTAAAATTGGGGGTGCTAATACCCCCCTAAGCCCCCCCTATTTGCGCCTATGGCTGACAGTAGCGCTAATGACATATCACACACTGTTTCTTTAGGTGGTTGAACATGACAGTTTAACCATTCAGACAACCATATAAAAATGGTCGAATTATTATGTTTTTCACTTAACATATTAGTTACAGTAAACCCACGTTGGTTCACCTTGTCATAAGCAAGAGCTTCATATAAAAAAATATGTTTAGTTTTTTCTACTCCAAACTTGTAAAAGTTTTTAACTACAGAGCCTGTAGCATCTATTATCAGTCGCGGGTGAGTGATATTACTACAGTAACTTCGATAAATATGAATTTGTTCACCACAATGATAATTTAAAAAAAATGGATATACGCTAATATTACGAATGACATTCTTAAAATCATCCTCATCTCTCATAATTGATAAGGCTGTTAAAGTATCTTTGTGTCTTTTCCGTGCTTCAAGGCTACGATATTTGAGGATTCTCAACGCATTACCTGATGGTAATATTGCAGGTTCTTCAGCACCTAAATATATATATTGTGTTCATTAATTACCTATTACATTTATTGGAATATAGAACTAATGAATTGTAATTGAACCAAAAAGCACTGGTCTCGGAACGGCATAATCTTTAATAACAACCAATAATTAATCATAACCCATACAAAAAAATGTATACCATTAAAACTAAAACCTTTTGAAAACTTAAAACAATTTATAATTTTGATAATTATATTTAAAACAAAAATAATAATTAATAACACATAAGTCCAGGGCTTGCAAACATTATAATGACGTTATGATTATAACGTTATATATGACAAAAAAAAAAAACGCAAAATTAAAAATAATAATATCCATTTACTTAAATAATTACAATACCTATTATTGAATTCGTGGATATATTTATTCCACGAGATTTATTTTTATCTTAGCAGTCAATCTAAGAATTTATTATATTCCGTATCTGTACCACTCCCCGCGTTATATATTATAAACGATAAACGATAATCGCAAAAGTTGTAGAACGTTTTAATTTTAAATAACGACAAACGCAAAAATTGTATAACGTTTATATTGTATATCACGTAAAACCAATTTTTTTGTTCAAATGCAAGCTCTGTAGGTTAATTAATTAATATTTTAAATAATTTTGGAATAGGCACATACCTATTTTCATAACACGATTAGCTTCTAATTCCCTATATGTTTCACTTGACATTCCGTTTTCAGAAAGAGATGAAACTGCTCTATCTTTGGCTGGGCCAATTATTCGTCTCTTTTTAGCTTTGTGCTGTTCATGAAAATGTCCTTTATATGTACAATACATAAGAACCCTGATATTTTTTTTATAAAATTTTAATAACTGAAATTAGCTATAATAATTAACAATAAATGTATACTTGGCATTTTCTGCTGGTCTTTGAGATACAAATCCTTCAAAGTATGATTCACAAACTGAGCAACGTCCTACGACTTTAACATATACTTGTCCATTAGGAAAAACTTTTGCTCTTTTGAAGGATATACAACAAGGTAATTCTGTGTGTATCCAAAAATGCTCTGCAAGCACTGGAGTCCAAGTACCTTTTGGTAAAACTACATATGAACGTGAACTCCGAATAGGGTTATTTTTATCAGACAATTTATAACTAATTTCTTGAGGTTGGATTTGTTGCCACTCTTCAGCTGATAAAGTAAAAACAAATTTTTTTTGGGGGATACAATCATCATCATTACTCAACTCAGTAAATTCATCTAAGAAAAATACATAAATGTAAATTAATTTGGTTTTATTTAATCGAATAAGTATATTGAATAACACACCACTTTCAAGATCATTTTTAACTCCTATTATTTTATCTGGGAATATTGGTAAAGTCTTTTTCGTGGAAATACCTAGTTTTTCCCAAATCCCGTGCCTTTTTAGTTGTACAAATGTATGAATTGCATTAGAAGATAATTTATAATTTAAATGTTGACTGATCTCACTCCAAATCTTATTTGTGGCCACAGCAAGTGCTATTGAAAAATAAATTTACAAATTAATTATTGGCACCTGTACCGTATACACTATTCGTAAATTTTTTCATAGATATTTAAGCTAAAATTTGGACGAAATTACATATTAAATAACCAAGAATATTAATTTTAGTAATTTTTTTGTAATTTTATAATATTAATTAAACTTACAGTCTACCTATTAATAATAAGTAGGTAGGTAATAACAATTTAAACATAATATAAAATATCATATACTGACCAACCGTCTCTGCTTAGAATCGTTTTTCGTATACAATGAATTATACAGCAAATTAATACACTTACTTATTACACTTACCCGCATTTTATTTGTTGTTGTTTTTGCGTTACATTTACACCAACGGTACCGCTAATTTTATAATTTCACACGTATGTTACGTTAACGAAAATGTAACGCGTTTTCTAACATCTCAAAAACTTCGTAACAAATACTATGTAATGTTACGTATTTCACCACTATTGGACGTTACATAGATCCATAGTCACAATTTTTTTTTATAAGCATCTAAAGTTCAAATATTGACAAAATACGTAAAAATTACTAAAATTTGCAAATTTTTTTGAGTTAGAAATTCATGAAAAATGTTCTTTTTAAATCTAAGATTTTAAAATGTAATACAAGATTTCTCATAAGTTTGTCTACTTTTATCCAAAAAAAAAATGTCTACAAGAAAGTCAAATTAAATTTTTATGAGCGTTTGAAGTTTATATTTTTACAACATCTGATATTCACTCGATTTCTCATATAACGATTTTCTTATTTCGTTGTAATTAAAAAACGAATGACTGTACCTATATAATTGAAAATTTTACTGAATGTTTATATTAGCATTTTATATACACCATAAAATTTTTAAAATAATTTGACTCTTTTTGAGCTGTTTACGGACATTTTCATTTTCCAATTTTTCAATAAAATTTTCTTTGTTGGGTAAAAAAGCGTGGAACCTTAATGCAAGGCTCCTGATATAACGGTACAATAACAGTTGAAAAATATAAAACATACATGGGCACAATTTTTTTTATAAGCATTTTAAAGTTTGAATTTTGACAAAATTTATCAAATTTAATATTTAAAAACTATTTTGTAGTTGAAAATTTATAAAATGTTCAACTTTTATAGCTAAGGATTACAAAATTTAAAACATGTTTCCCCGTAAATAGGTTATATATAAATTACGTTATTCACAATAATATTATCAAATATGTTAGGTAGTAATATAATAGCTGACTGACCAATTTTGATCATCACTATATACTATATTATAATATATTGGCCTTAAGTTTCATCTTAGAGATCATAGGAAAAAACCTACACACAGCTATACCTAACAGGTATTCAGTTTTTTTTTTTATATGTTTTGTGAAAATAGCAAGAGTCTTGGTCTTATTTTGATCATCACTAGTTTTTTGTTTCCTGCAGTTAAGTATAGGTATTTAATATTTCTTATAATGGATATTTTGTACTTTAGTAGACTTGAAAATTTTCTTTATAATCTGTAGGTAAGTCTTAGAACACATTAGATAATTGTCAATAACTTACATATAATGATACTTATATACTAAATTCAGAATTAAAAATCATTATAAAATCAATAAAACAATTGGAAATTAAATATAATGGTATAAATAAAAATATAAAAAATAAAAAAAAATTAAATATAAAAACATATTTTTCAGGTGTAAATTCCTAATGAAAAATTAAATGGCATTTTATGATTTATAAAAGCTTTATAGTAGGTATTTAAATTACCTACTATACCAGTTTTGTCAGCACTCAGAAGTACCTATGTGAAAGAACTTTTTATTGTATGAAAATAATTATGAAATAGGTATCTAAGAAATGCCATACTACATATAACTCAATCCAATTTGTTACCTTTTTTTAAAAAAAAGTCAGAAGTTAAGCTTTTGGATATAGATAATATAAGTAATACTTAGATAACTTTGCTGATTCTCATAATAATAGTAGACTACTATTAAAATAAATATCATTATTATTGTACATTGCAGCATCATTTATACCAAAATGAACATATATATTGTTTATTATTTGTAAATATTTTGTAATTGTGTATTACCCATGTGGCCATGTATAGTGTACATATAGTGACATATAGTGTATATTAAAATATAATATATACACCACAATTAAAATAAGACTTAATATAATGTATGAAAGTTGTATTTATAATTTTTTATTCAATTGATTTATTAGTTATTACATTAAATTGTATGATGCATAATGTAATTTTGAAAATATTATTTATTTTTAAATAAGAAGTATAGGTAATTGCCTTATTTGGTAAGTATAGGCCCTTCTCAGTAACCTAAGTACCTAAGCTTTGGAGTACCTAAAAAAATATTAAGTAAAAATAAATATTTGTGCACAACACCATTTTCAGTAAAATCAATTTTGTTTTTTGGCGTAATTATAAAAATAATAACTGTAGGTATTAACATGCTATTTTCACCAAATGTTTATATTAGCTTTTTCGATACACCGTAAAGTGTTAGAGCTATTTATATAAAACGAGTATATTGTGCACGGCTTAGTATAATGTATAAATGTATAATATAGAGTGTACTCGATAGCGATACTGTAAAACAGACTCAAGTCTCACATCCACGGATCATATTTTGTCCGTCGTGGGAAGCGTTTTTCGCAGTATCGTCTACCGTAACTCAATCATATAATTTATTATGTACGGTATTATAGTTTGATTATAATATAATCGTATACATTGTAAGTGTTAAACATAATTTTATAAATTTTTGTCTATATTTCCAAGTTTTACAATAGTATATAGGTAATGTAGTATAAATAATAATTATATGGTAAAACATACTTCCATTTTCATGATTAATCACATTATCTTTAAACAATAACACGGCATCTATAATCTGAGAAGGTGGAACAGCGGGCTTTCTTCCAGCCATTTTATACAAATCAATAAAAAACAAAAGTTAAACAATACATTAAAACTTAAGTATTATGAACAGCTACAATTTTCAGCATTACATTTAAAACGTAATCATAAAAATATTAGAAACAAAAAAGCATTGATAAAACGATTTGATAATTGACAAATGACATAACCGATAAAATAAAAATATCTTTTTTTTTGATTAGATAAGGAAAAATTGATTGTGTTTATTTTAAACCCGCACGTTTGCAGGACAATGCTATTGTTAGTTCATGATCGTGATAAACAAGACATAACCAGTGACCGACGACCGTGCGGTGTTGTTTATAAATTAATAATATTCGTGTTTGTTGGACAAGGAGAGAACACAGATAATGTTGTTACGTAAAAGTTTGATAATAAGTCAATTCACTCTAATATCAAAACTGACCATACGCTATTGAAACTTGACAACGAAAATTTCTTATGTTGTACGTGTGTAAGACGGAGACAACACATGCGGGTGCGACGTCCTCTTAAGAGGATGTCACCGCACTATTTGTTTTCTCTCTCTGGCCCACGCGCAACATGGACAAAACACAATTACACAGAATCATTTTTTCTATGTATTTAAGTAATCTTCACCTATTACAAGTAAAATCAACTATTACAAAATAGATAGAGAATAATATTTTTGAGGGAATGACATATCGATTTCTCTAAATATTGTCTCCACTAAAGTAGCGCTGCCCCGTTCACAAGAGTCATTCATCTGTAGTGCATAATAGGACATTGGTCTCATTCATATAATGCCTATCGTCAAGTCCAGAAAAGTTTGGACAATCAACCTAACACCGAATTATGATGGTAAAGAAAAGCGTTACTTTAACTGTATTCCATGGAACCCCGGGGTTCTGCGGAGATCACTTCAGGGTTCCGCGAAACTCTTATTAAAATTAAAATTTAGACGTCCTGTTTGTCTTTTTTTAATATTATACACATTATTATTATATGAAATGACTATAATTTTTATTGCAAATAATCCTTACATAAAATTACTATTGAAACAAAGTAGGGGTTCTAATTGCGAGCTGTAACAACTTATTGCTGAAATCTAAATAAAAAAATCTAAAACACAGAAAAAAAAGAGGGATGCAACGATAAAACGTTATTTTGGGGGTGAAGGGTAGCTCGAAAAATTTCAATTTTTGTCTCACAAATTCACACTAATGGTGCACTAATTTTTGGTAAAAAAAAAATCCAGAAAAGCCGGATTTTCGACCTCGAGGGGGGGCTGGGGAAATGGCCAAAACGGTAAAACGTTATTTTGGGGGTTAAGGGTAGCTCGAAAAATTTCAATTTTTGTCACACAAATTCACACTAATGGCGCACTTATTTTTGGTAAAAAAAAAAATCCAGAAAAGCCGGATTTTCGACCTCGAGGGGGGGCTGGGGAAATGGCCAAAACGGTAAAACGTTATTTTGGGGGTTAAGGGTAGCTCGAAAAATTTCAATTTTTGTCACACAAATTCACACTAATGGCGCACTAATTTTTGGTAAAAAAAAATCCAGAAAAGCCGGATTTTCGACCTCGAGGGGGGGCTGGGGAAATGGCCAAAACGGTAAAACGTTATTTTGGGGGTTAAGGGTAGCTCGAAAAATTTCAATTTTTGTCACACAAATTCACACTAATGGCGCACTAATTTTTGGTAAAAAAAAATCCAGAAAAGTCGATTAATTACACTTAGGGGGGACCAGCGAACATTTCACCAGCCCCCCCAAAGTTTTTTTGAATTTGTCCTAAATTTTTTATCGCACAAATTCTGAAAATATTCGCACAAATTCACAAAAATTCCACACTAATTAATGGTGAAGAAAAAACAACGGTTTTTTAACTTGGGGGGGCTGGTGAAATGTACGTATTACGCAATCCATGTAAAATAATAACAAGAACCACTTATGTGAGAGGCGGCCTCGTCAACCGCACCTAAAAGTGGTCATAGCTAGAATGGACGCTCCGAACCACTACAACTTACCAAGGGCGCCTACATGCCCCTCGCCGCTCAATTCAAAGGACGTTGCCTCCGTATATATATAGGCCAGGTCCCCAGTACACATTCGATGTACCAGAGCCGCCAAGGCCGAGCGAGCCGCTTATGCACCAGCTATTACACACAACTTACACGGAGGTTTTCAGCTACTACAACGATTCAACTCACGACACTACAATTTACCACGACTTTATTACTTATTATTGGTTTTAATAAAACTACAATTGATTTATATTATAAATTGACTATTGTTTATTATAAAAGTGTATCAGCTTTTGGATTCCTGAAGAGCAGCACGTAACAACTTCATGGTTTTACTATTTAACATATAACAGGCATAAGTCACACATTAATTAGGTATTTAATTAAATAAAAACCTGTGAACTTAAAGTGAATTAAATGATATATTTTTATTATTGAAAAGAAAATTAGGTTAAAAATTATACATCATTCACAAAATAACATTTTAAAACTTGGAAGTTTACCTACAATATTTGTAAGTTTTACCAATGTTTTAAGTATATTTATTGTTTTTATTACAAAATATTATTTAATATTCATAGTTGAATACTTTTATTTAACATACTTGAGGTGGAAGAGAACTATGTTGGGAATGTGGTGTGGTGAACATAGCAGTTGAACCAGGAGCTACAGCAATGGTCGATTTGGTACAACTGGTGGTTGAACAATACCATTCACCGGCTCAATATATGGCTCATTCCGTGGTGGTTCAACCTCTCCACCATCAGGCTTTGCATTTGAAGTATCCTATAATTTGATAGTAAAAGTAAATAAATAAAAAAATTTTTTTAACCTGCATAAAACATGTACTATACGCATCAAAAGCATAAAAATAAAATGTATGTATTTCCTATTTAGTACTATTATTATTTAACTATTTTTAATATTTTTAATTTTTCCTAATGTGTTTGTATAAATTTGATGCTATGAAAAACCAACTGAATTTTCAATATTATAGATTCTGAGTGAAACGATGAATGTATTGATTTTACAATGATGTGTGTTTTTTTTATTTTTTTTGTGTCTGTGTACACGATAAGTAGTCGAAATAATGCTTCGATTTTCAACTTCAGTATCTTCTTCGATTGAAAAGTGAATATCGTTGGTGCATTGAGGAGGTCAAAATTTTAATTTCCCAGTAGTTTTCAAAAGCACCGTGAAAAACAAAAAAAAAATTAAGGAAAAACAGGAATTTTTACTCAAAATCTGTTTTCGAGAAAATCGATTTTGGTTTTTGGTAACTTTAAAACAAATGACTGTAGATACATGAAATTTTCAGTGTTTGTTTATATTTGCATTTTCTACACACGATAACATTTTCAAAATATTTTGATTTATTTTGAACTGTTTAGGGACATTTTCAGTTTCCAATTTTATTAGTTTTTTTTTTTTTATGAATATCAAAAAAATTTATTTGTTGAGTAAAAATACTTGAAAATTTAATACAAGGCTCCTACTATATTGTTTCAAAGGCAGATGGAAAAAAAATTAAAAATCTTTAGTCACAGTTTTTTTTTTAAGCATTTAAAGTTCAAAAAATGAAAAAATATGGAAAAATCACGAAAATTTGCAAATTATTTCGAGTTAGAAATTCATAAAAATGTTTCTTTTTAAATCTAAGATATGAAAATGTAATACAAGATTAATTATAAGATTTCCTACATTTATCAAAAAAAAAAAATTCTATAAGAACGTCAAATTAAATTTTTATGAGCGTTTGAAATTCAAATTTTTACAACATTGGATATTCACTCGATTTCTCATGTGGCGATTTCCTTATATTGTTGTAATTCACAAACGAATTACTGTAGATACATGAAAATTTCACTGAATGTTTACATTAGCATTTCCTAACACCATACAATTTTGAAAATATTTTGACTCTTTTTTAGCCGTTTAAGGACATTTTCAGTTTTCAATTTTTTTAGTTTATTTTTTTTTCTATAAATATCAATAAAGTTTTACTTGTTGGGCCAAAAAGTGTAAAAAATTAATACAAGGCTCCTTATATATTGTTACAATAGCAATTGAAAAATATTAAAAATACATATTATACACAATTTTTTTTTAGAAGCATTTAAAGATCGCATTTTAACAAACTTTATCAAAATCTCGAAAATTATCAATCATCGTAATTAATAAATTATAAAATGTTCAGTTTTTATAGCTAAGGAATGCAAATTTAAAAAAAAGATTCTCATAAATAGTTCATACTGTAGCCAAAAAATCTAAAAAATATATGAGCACAGTTATTTTTTACAGACATTTTAAGTTCAAATTTGGGACGAAATTACATATTAAAAAACCTAGCATACCTATTTTAGTTATTTTGTTGTGATTATATAATATTATTCGTGGGTACCTACTTGAAACTTCTAAAGTGTACTATTATATATCTATGATAGTATCAGCCATCAGGGTTTGTTATTGATGTTGATGTATAACGTGTTATAAGTACCTAATGGATATTGTGATATGATTAATTTGGAATTTATTATAGGTCAATTTTTTTTTAATACCATGGATATGTTATAATATGTCTTAAACCTAGACTGACATACCGTCTTCGCTCAGAATCGTTTTTCTTATACAATGATATTGTATCATTGAATTCAAATTTAATAGCATCTATTATACAGTGACCAACTTGTAACCTACTGTACAGCAGAGCGACATCCACTTACCCACCTTTTTAAATCTTAGGTTTAAAAGTTTTCTACAATGCTTCATAACTGGAATATGCATGTAATTTTTACATTCAAGTTCAAGTGTCCATCATTATTGGTATCACTTGGGTAATTGTTGGTTATTTATATGGGATAGGTATAAATATTTATGGATTATTTTTTATACAATATCAAGTATCTACAATTTTAGGACTACTTAAAATATATCAATTAAATATGTAAATAAATTACATCATAACCGTTATTATTTTAAAAATTTTAAATTTCTAATGCTG